TATCCAGTATATATAAAATATATGATGATGACAATATTATTTTGGGAGTCTGAGTGTTTGGGAAAGAGATTAATAGTTTGATTATCCAGTATGTACATTATGTAAACACTGTTGAATCAAACATTTAATAGTTAATAGTAGAACCCAGTGCTACCAACTGATTATTGAACATAATTTTGATTCTTATAGCTTGTGGAAATCATTAATGATTTCTCCACCCATGGATCAACAGTTGTGTCAGATTCTAATGCAATCCAGTGGCCAACAAAGCATTTTTGTATTTGATCATATACAGAAGTCAGGGAGGGAGAAGATTCATAACATTCCAATTTAATAACTTTCCAACTTTCCAAGCAAACTATTCTTCACATGGAAATGAAGAATTATGCAACCTGCCGTACCAGTGGCTGCCTGTTTGGGGAAATTTATATTTTTCATAAGAGGCTTTGCATTAAATGAAAATCTATTGTATTCTGGTTTGCATTGCACCTATTAACTGCCTCCATTCAGTGGCAAGTGCAATCGAACGTGAAGATTTCACTGGTTCTTGGTAATAATTTGCTTTATTTTATTTTTCTATGAATCAGGTCATCCCAAAATACGAGCCTTTATCTCTCATGGAGGAATCAATGGAATCTATGAGGCCATCTGCAATGGTGTTCCTATGGTAATGGTACCATTGTTTGGGGATCAACCAGATAATGTGGCACATATTGTGGATCGTGGTGCTGGTGTCGCCCTGAACATCCATCAGATGAGCTCCGATGATCTACTTGATGCCATAAATGTGGTGGTCAATGATACCAGGTGAGTAAAACTCGCACAGCCCCAAACTCCAGGTTGTGTGAAATTTCTAAGGTTGAATTGAATGTTTTCATACATCTCGTTTGTTCTGAAAATATTAGCGCTCCAAATTCTAGCAGTGTGAAGCTAAGGTGATATATGTTACTTTTATTTTGATTGAAACTTTTCAAGTATGATTTCGGATACAACCCAGTGTGTGACTTCTATACACAAGTTTATTTGGTATTGAACATCCACTGCATTGCTTGCAGCAATTATTCTCAAAGGATGTGACTGGGCCATTACTTTATCGCCTACTATTTGTTGCTGTGGTGATTCCTGTGTGAAGTAAGTTTTCTGAGATTCAGGCATTATATAGTCCATTGGGTTTCTCCATTGGCTTCCTCCTGCATCTTTGCTGCCCATCAGCAATACTTCTGGTTGATAAATTAGTAACTTTAACAGTGGCAGGTGTGTCACAGAGTCTTGTAGGTCAGTGGTTAGAGCACTCACCTCGCAAGCGAGAGACTTGGGTTTGATTCCCGGCAGGGCGAAACCTTGGGCAAGTTTCCTTACTCCACACGCCTGATAATAATCTCTCAAGAATAAATAAATAAAAAATAATAATTTGGTCACTCAATCCATGACTGTCTGTGGGACACTGCTGTGTGCAATTGGCTGCCACATTTCGCCAACAAATATGCAGTCAATTCACTTTACAGTATATTCTATGAAGCGCTTTGAGATGTCTTGAAGACGCGAAAAGCACTATATCAAATGTAAGGATTATTATATTTATTATTGCATATCTGATACAATGCCAGGATCCAGGTCCAAATTAATCTGCAATATCTGCAATAACATGATAACAGCATAGGCCTGAGATCAAAGTCACCCCATGTAGGTGATTGGATCAGTATTTCTGTGCCTAATTGCCCAGATCCAAAAGTGGTTGGCACTCTGTGCTCTGTACAATCAGATGTTGTTTCAGTACAGGATACAGGATATCCCTCTTCCCTCTTGAAAGCTATCTGATTTTGATGCACAGGAATTTCATGAAATTCTCAGTCTTGCTGTGAACCTACTCAAGCCATATTTATTTCAAGAAATGTAACCCACAATTATTTCACTTGGGTTATCATGTTGCCCTATTGATGGCCCATTCAGTCCATCCCTAGCCTGTTACATTATTGATAGCCTCATCATTGTTATCATGTTGAGTTATTTTGAGCTCCCTAAAACTACACTGTGAAATGCCTGATTCTCTGGGGAAGGTTCAAAGGAAGTCTGCTACATCATTCACTTAGCATTGTTCCTGTCCTCTCACAACTCACAGGCTTCTCCCATTCTCAACATGTGGTCATCTTCTTCCCAACAATTTTGATCTAATTTTATTTCCCTTGTAGGTACAAAGAAAATATGATGAGGCTGTCGTCACTGCACAACGATCGGCCAGTGGAGCCCCTGGACCTCTCTGTCCACTGGGTGGAGTTTGTGATGAAACACAAAGGGGCAGAACATTTACGCTCAGCAGCCCATGAGCTTAACTGGATCCAGTATCAATGTCTGGATGTCGGTGGGTTCCTGCTCGCCATTGTGCTGGTCTCCGTGGGTTTCATGGCTAAGTGTTGCTCATTTTGTTGTAGGAAGTGTTTGTGCAGAACGAGGAATGTGAAAAGGAATAAATCAGATTAAATCAGATGTCAATTATTACCTGGGTTTGTAGCGGCTTGGTTTGATGATAACCTTGGACTGTTGTAACTTGATAACTTGATAATGAGAGACCTGGATTTGACTCACTGCAGGGTGAAACCTTGGGCAAGTTTCCTTACTCCATATGCCTGATAATAATTCATCAAAAAAATAACAAATTGATGATTTCAATCCACAACTGTTTGTGGGACACCACTGTGCACAATTGGCTGTCACATTTCGCCCACAAGTATACAGTCAATTCATTTTTACAGTATTCTGTGAAGTGTTTTGAGACGTCTAGAAGATGTGAAAAATGCTATATCAAATGCATTATTATTACTATTATTACTTGCACATGATTGATAACACTGGAGTGTCCAGCAACATAAATGTTTTGAATGTTTTCAGTTTTTAAATAAAACATTTTTNGTGGAACAATATTTGTTGCAGCTGTTCAAAACTCCGAAGTGACAATATTACAAGGTAACAACAACAGTACCTCAACATAGTACCTCAACAGTCCAAGGTGACAACGACGGTACCTCAACATAGATATCTGATAGTAATAACAGGAAAAGTGTGCATCTTTCGAGTAGAATGAATATGGCAAACTTTTTGATAGGCTGAAGGGAGAATTAACATCAATGAAAAATGTGGTTGATTAGCTGCCGCATTTTACTCACAGTCACTACACTTTACGGCATATTCTGTAAAGCACTTTGAGACCTTTCAAAGACGTGATCAGGCACTGTATCAAATGAAAGGATGATTGAAAATGTGTTTTAGGAGGATTTTGAAAGCAGTGAGAGAGAAAGTGAGACACAGAGATTTTGGAAGAGAGTTCCAAGTGGAATGGAGTATAGAGTCGGAAAGCTCAATCACCGAAGGGGGTATTGAAAGTGTGACAGACGAGCAATAGTCCAGAAGGGTATGAGTGGGAGATAAGTTTGGAAGGGATTGCATTGGGAGTGAGAGAGGGACAAGACTAAAAGGGTTTGATGGTCAGAATCCTGTTTGGCAACAATGCAGAGTAGCTTGCTGTTGTGCAGGTGACTGCTGTCAAGTAGCAACACATGGCACCTGTGAAGAATTGACCATGTGCCTTTTCTGAATTGTACGATTTCAGACCAAAAGATTTACCATGGATGAACAAGGGACCCTTTGGCTACACTGGTCCTTCAAAGAAGGCAGGAGTTCTTCTGCTTTTCAGATATTATATAACACTGTCGCCAGCCTGTACGCACAAGAAACACTCACACTCATTGTTCTAGAAATAAAGCATTAGATCCCATGTGACTTGGAACAGGTTAACTTGGATGGAGAGCCACATCTATCTGAGGGAATTGCTGTTAAGAGGTCAGTTGAAAAGCTCGTCTGCACAGAATCAGCAATGATGTGCACCTTTCAGCAGAATGAATGCAGCAAAGTGCGTAACTGTTTTGAAGGTCTGAAGTGAGAATTAAGGATGCTAACACAGGGCACGGTTACTAATGTGTTTTAGGACCGTTTGGAAGGCAATGAGAGAGAAAGTGAGGCACAGAGGTTTTGGGAAGAGAGTTCACAGAAGATTGGAGTATTATAGCCGATGGCTATAATTGGCCATCAGCTATTGGTGCATAATCGGTTACCACATTTCAGCCACAAAATATCCTGTCAAGTCTAAACCTTGGTCTGTTGGAAACTGATCATCTGAGATGGAAGATTCCATTGATATGTAACCAGGGCTCATATTTCTACAAATAATCACAATAGTGAGACAATAACCAAGGAGAAATGTCCTCCCCCAGAGGGACAGACGTTAGGATGTGGAACCCCCTCCAAGTTGGTTGATGGATACAGTTCCATTTTAGCTTTCAAGAGGGAAGGAGAGAGGTGTATGGAACAGGGGCTGAGGTGATATCTTTGCTCTGTGAGCCCAGGAGGACTGGATGGGCTGAAGGGTTTTTCGTGCTGTAGGTTTCTATCAAAAGAATGAGACAAGTCCCAATGTGTTATGAGGTATATATCGGCCACTCTTAATTCACTGTTTACCATAATCAATTGCGGATCACTGTTCTGTTCCACGTTGTGATAAACAGCTCAGTCTCTTATTGGGTTTCTCCTCTTCCCCTAAACTCAGACTTTGACACAGTCCCCAATGTTGAGGTATTTTCGCGTTTCTCCTACCTCTCCGACCTACCACCCCCCTCCCTACCCGCCCGTACCCTCCGCTCCTCCGGCTCCGGTCTGCTCCACATCCCCCGCCCCAACCGCCCTACCATCGGTGGCCTTCAGCCTCTCAGCCCCGAGGCTCTGGAACTCTATCCCCAGTGCCTTCGCCGCCTCCTCCCTTTCCTCCTTCAAGGCCGGTCTCAAGACCTTTCTCTTTGACTGTCCTTCAGCTCCGCTCTCGACTCTCTACCCCTCTCCTCGCTCCCTCCCCTCCCTTCCCTCCCCTCACCCTGACCATTTCCCCCCAACGCTCGGGTCCTGACCCAACTGCGCAGCGCCTTGGGACGTCCTCCCGACGTGAAAGGCGCTCTGTAAATGAAATCTTGTGGTGGTTGTTGTTTGAAATGCACAGATTGCATTTTCCCCCTAAAATGGCGGCAAAGGGACCGCTCCTGTAATCCGCAGAGATCTGAACCTTAGACCTCAAACCGCTGAAGCGCACATCGAGAGGAGCGGAAAGCAGTCGCTCGGCCGCGCGCTCCGCCCCGAGAGCCGCCGAACAGCGCCACAGCTCCAAAGGTCACAGGTTTATGCAAAGCACTGAAACGCGATGCGGATCCCATGAGAGGGGAAGAGTTTAAAAACAGAGGCACTCGAGAGCCGATAAAAAAAAAAGCCGAAGCGCTGAGGGACCGGAGTCGGGAGAGTGTCCCCACACAGAATGGCGATCAGTATCCGCCATTTGGCGAGTGTGGCCGTGTGTCTGCAGTGCCTGCGGGTCCCGGCGCAGGGCGGGCGGCTGCTGGTGGTGCCGGTGGACGGCAGTCACTGGCTCAGTATGCGGATACTGGTGCAGGAGCTCCACGCGCGGGGACACCACATCGTCGTCGTCTTTCCCGAAAACAATCTGGTGATCCACAGGGCCCCCGAGTACAGCAGCAAAACCTTCCGCACCGCCTACAGCAAACAGCACGTGCGGGACATCTACCGGAGTCTGATCCGATTCCCCTTCATCAACGGCACTTTTTTCGAGCGGTTCTCGGAAAACCTGAGGCTGATCCAGAAGTTCTCCGACTTCTTCCTGATCACCTGTGAGGGGCTCCTGCGGGACTCGGAGCTGCTGCGGGAGTTGGCGGAGGGCGAGTTCGATGCGCTGTTCACTGACCCCTTCAGTCCCTGCGGCTCCATCGTGGCCGCGCACCTCTCGCTGCCCTCCGTCTTCCTCCTGCGGGGAGTGCCGTGCGGGTTGGATTACGAGGCCGCGCAGTGTCCCAGACCGCTCTCCTACGTCCCGCGGCATTTCACCGGCAACGCCGACCGAATGAGCTTCTCACAACGGGTCCATAACGTGTTGGGCCTCGTAATGGAATCGGTAGTTTGTCACGTTACCTACTCCCGGTTTGACGAGTTGGCCGCCAGGTTCCTGCAGAAGGAGGTGACGGTGAAGGAGCTGCTGAGCCGCGGCGCCATCTGGTTACTGAGGTTTGACTTTGTGTTCGAGTATCCGAGACCTCTGATGCCAAACATGATCCTCGTGGGGGGTATGAACTGTAAGGACAGGAAACCTTTACCTGAGGTACGGACAGTGTTGGTCCAAATGCAAAACCACCAGAGCATTGGGGGGAATGGGAGTGAATGCTAAACAGTCCCAGTAGTGGAGGATGGAACAGGTTGACCGCATTGTAATAATCCTCGCATTTGATATCGCGCTTTTCACGTCGGGAGGACGTCCCAAAGCGCTTCACAGAACACACTGTAAAGTGAATTGACTGTATATTAGTGGGCGAACGCGGCAGCCAATTGAACACAGCAATGTCCCACAAACAGTCGTGGATTTAAAATTACCAATTTATTATTGTTTTGGGTTTTGGAGGGATTATTATTAGGCTCTGTGTGGAGTAAGGAAACTTGCCCAAGGTTTCGCCCTCCGCCGGGAATTGAACCCGGGTGTCTCACTTGCAAAGCGAGTGCTCAAACCACTGAGCTGCAGGACTCCACTCAATCGGTGGATCGCTTTCTGGGGATAATAATCCTCGGGGTGGGGGGTTGGGGGGGAGAGGGGAATTGGTCACTCAATTTGCGACTGTTTGGGACACTACTGTGTGCAATGAATTGGCTGCAGTGTTTTGTCCAAAACATAGTCAATTCACTTTACAGTGAAGCGTTTGAGACATCTCAGCAACGCGATAAGCTGCTAAATGAAATACAAGGATTATTATCATCTGGAATTGCTCAGTGAAAGAGCTGAGGCTCACAGATCAGGAAAATATTGTGGTAAACGTTCTAGTGGCTGAACATTCACTGTCCCACTCTGATATACTGTACTGGTGCCTGAAAAATGTTTATTGAGTGGGACTCATAACAGTTGATGTTGGTTGTTTTTCATTGCGGTCCTGGTGTTCAAGACTGAATGTAGTTATCGTATCTGTTGTTAATTTGTAGTGGTTTGAAAACTAGCTCTGTATTGCTGTTTGCTATTTTGCATTAGTGTCCGGTACTGTTTCCAGATGTTGTTGCCTTCTATGAACAATTTCTATACTAAGTACTGCAGAAGGTATTCAAACCCACAATTCCAATGTAGAAGCACTTAAGTTTTAGTATGTTCTATACATCCAAGTATAGAAACATTTGTATAACTATTTTGCAGGCATGCAAGCCAAATTTCACAAACAACCGTTCGGCAATTGACCCAGAGGATAGATAATTTCAATAAGATAATTAATAAGGTAATTTCATCCTTGTTTTGTTCCATAGGAGTTAGAAGAATTCATGAACAGTTCTGGAGAATATGGAGCAGTGATCTTCTCCTTGGGGTCAATGGTTTCTGATGTGCCTATTGAGACAGCTGATCAGATCGCAGAGGCATTGGGTCAAATTCCTCAAAAGGTAACTGCTGAAAGAATGAGCTTGTTTTTAAATAAGCAATGCCTAAATTAAGAAATGTCCCTCTTTGCAGCTAAGTCGCACAACATGTGTACCTTCACTTCGATAGAAAATGTTACTGTTTTCTGGTATTTTAGACTTGTTGGTTTAGACAAGTTGAATTCTTTATAGTTGTCTAAATATTGCAAAAAAATGTTATTCATACCCCTGGGTGTGAAATTCCTTCCAGCCTGTGTGTGCAATTTTGATGCATATAGAAAAATTAATTGACTGAAAATAGATGGGTTCTGGAGGAGTGACATAGGCTGAACAAACACTCCTTACTATTGTGACAGAATCATTCCTTCTGGATTGTTCCCTTTTGTAAGCAGAATAACTGGAACAATTGAGGAGGGAGGGGTCAAATTGTTATTGATGGTGAAATGGAGAGTAGGTTCGTGCTGAGAGTGCTAATAGTTGTGAGGATAAGATTGAGTCAAGGGAGAACAAAGGTCACATTTGGTACTGTTAGTCTTGCTGAACTGTATATTGGTAACTGGTAATGATTATAAAGGTCAGATTGTATCAGTTGTGGCGACCTATTAAGGGGGATTGGAATAAAATGGGGGGGGGGGGAATTGCAACAAAACAAAAGGGGGGGATTTCAATCACCTGTGATTCGTTTTGCATCATTAACACCTCTTTAATCCATCATCCCGTCCTCTACCCCATTTTCTCCTTTTTCTTCCTTGCCCTGCCTCCCCCCTCTCTGTTAGCCCTTAAAGTCCTCCCTTCCCAACGTGCCCCAGTTCTGATGAAGGGTCTGGACCCAAAAAGTTGACTCGCTTTCCTTTCTCCATAGATGCTGCTGAGTGTTCCCAGCAACTTCTGCTTTTGTTTAAGATACTTACTACATTAGTTTCCTGATAATGTCCCAATTTGTTTTGTGTTGTTTTGCTGCTTCTGTAAGTTATTTTGGTGGGGAAACCTGGGAGAGGGATAAATATTCCAGAGCTTTTACTTGGAACCATTTTTTCTGGTGTTCTATAATGCCTCCCCACCATCCCTGTTGGTGGAATGATATATGTGATTGAGTAATTTTTTTGCCTAGCTTTGAAAGGAACGGAGTTGGTGAGCTGAATGGATTTTCTCATTCCATGCGTTGTTCTTAAAATTGGACTTTTAAAACCATCTTAATCAATATATTTATTTCAATAAATTAAAGTTTCTGGGGAGCTTTTAAGAGAATTCCCATGAAAATATCAATTTTATATGGTGGCTAATCAATTGGAATTCTCTTTCTCATTAAAGGTTCTGTGGAGGCACACAGGAGTAAAACCATCCACACTGGCACCAAATACAAAGCTGATGAAATGGATGCCACAGAACGACCTACTGAGTAACAAAACTATTGTAACTATATGAGATCCATGTAATATTTTCTTCTGCAGTGAGAGTCATTACTAGCGATTACCCCTAACCATATAAACATTGCAATATCTTTCAATGACTCCAGTCATGTCCAGACAGAATTACATCCGCAGCTTTCTAGTGTTGACTGTAGGTGAGACGTACCAAGTCTTCTTTTAATGAATAACAATTCTTCCTCCAGTTTTGATCGAGGAGTTGTTATTATAGTAATAACAATTTAATTAATTCTTGTATTTGATATAATACCTTTTATGTTTGGGAGGACATCTCAAAGTGTCTCACAGGATTTACTGTCCCTGTAAGGTGCAATAGGTATTTGGTAGACAAATGTGGCAACCAATTTATGCCCAGCAATGTCCCAAAATAGCTATGAAGTGAATTATCAATTTTATCTGGGGGATGGCTAGCCAGGAGACTGAAAAAGTTACTTCTTCATGAATAGTGCCAATGGGTCTTGAATATCCTCTTTTGTAAAAGAATAGGCAGATGGGATTATATCCGAAGGACTGTACCTTGGGATGAAAATGCAGCACACCCCCATCACCGTAATGGAGTGTCAGCCTAGAATATGAATTCAAAGTTCTGATGTAGGGTTTAAAACTACAAGCTTCTGACTCGGAGGCAAGAGTGCTACCAGTTGAACCAGGCTGCTGCCTCGTGAATTCATTGTAATTTTATCCTGAAAGTGTAAAAGTCTTGAATGGATTCCCTACACATAACTTAAATCAATGTTATCGGGGGGGTTGAACCTTAGAAATGTTTGACAAAGAAGGCACTTTTTCTTCCACATCTGTGTTAGCTTCTCTAAAATGCCACCTATCCTAATCCCAATTCCCTGTTCTGTCCTCATATCCCCTAATGCCCTTTCCTGCATATGTTGAATAATTCTCTTCTAAATGCCTGTGTCAGTTGCTAAAGCTAATTTTGAAGTTTTAATCCATCTATGCAAGATTTGATCTGACTGGGTTTGTTTCTGTTGACCAGGACATCCAAAAACACGTGCATTTATCTCCCATGGAGGAATGCATGGGATCTATGAGGCCATCTGTGCTGGTGTACCAATGGTATTGGTCCCATTGTTTGCTGACCAATTGGAAAATGTACTACGAATAAAGAACCAAAATGCTGGTATCCTCATTGATTTAAAAAATATGAGCTCTCGGGATCTAGTTGAAGCATTGAATACAGTCATCAATGATACCAGGTCAGTAAACCTCTCTGCAGCTTTTGATCCATGTTCTTTCTCTGTTGTATTGTAGCCCACGCTATTTATATTAGTTGCATAGGCTCTTTTACAAAATAACCAGAAGGGTTAAAAAAAATCAGAAGGGAAAATTATTGTAGATCTGGGTTCTTTACCTTCATCGTACAATTATTTCTGTATAATAATCCTTGCACTTGATATAGTATTTTCTCACCTCTTCGACACATCTCAAAGTGCATCACAGAATATACTGGGAAAGTGAATTGACTATATTTTGGGCAAAATGTGGCAGCCAATTATACACAGCAGTATCCCACAAATAGTTGTGGATTGAGTGACCAACTTATTTTTTTGGAAGGAATTATTACCCCCTGAAAAGTGATCCGCCAATCGACTAACAACCGAGTTCCTACTTACTGCTAGGTAAACAAAGGTGTGTGGAGTGAGGAAACTTGCCCAACATTTCACCTTGCCAGGAATCAAACCCAGGTCTCTTGCTTGCGAGGTGAGTGCTATAACCACTGAGCTACAGGACTCCACATATGGAATAGATTCTTGGTACGTTGCTAAATGTACTATCTACAACACACTATAGGGCACCAATGTTTGTGTATCTGCTACAGAACAAATTTAGAGTATCAACAGAAATGAGTTGTGGATCCTATTCAATCTGTTCCATTGAATGACTTTTGACCAAGCACTGGTCAGACTTCTTGGTTTAGAATGACTGCTGGCAGGAACTGGGACAAGCTGCTAGCCTACAAGGGAATTTAATTTTGACTGGTTGCTAAAGAGCTAAATGCAAAAGAAATCTGATCAGCTAATTGTGAGGGAACCAAATAGTTAATTACTTGATGATAATTAATCAGATAAGAAAACCATTGCAGACTGATCACACAGGCAGATCAGAAAGAGAAATTCTCATGTGCCTCTTGCCAGCTGGCTTTGTGATCTTAATGGAGGCTATGGGCCTCTCTGTGTCCACTCATAATCGCAGAGATTTCCTACTTGCAAAATTCACATTCTTGCATAGTTTTTTGTAATTAAAATTTAAGCTTATGGAACATTGAAAACATCACACTGGTTTAAAAGCTAAAAGACTAAGAATATTTAGAGTGTTTTGTAACTGCCTAATTGTAGAATTCTTTGAATATATTCCAAGCTGTATATCTGATTAAGAGCTTGCAGGATCTATAATGATTATCTTGAATTCATTCACCCATATCAGAGCAAGGTAGCAGTGCTATGCATGCAAGTAGATTCACCAGCCTTTCTGTTTCATGTCCATTAGTAAGCTTGACTAACAACAGTTTGAACATTACAACAACTTTCTATTCCAGGTACAAAGAAAATATGATGAGGCTGTCGTCACTGCACAAGGATCAACCAGTGAAACCCCTGGACCTTTCTGTCCACTGGGTGGAGTTTGTGATGAAACACAAAGGGGCAGAACATTTACGCCCAGCAGCCCATGAGCTTAACTGGATCCAGTATAACTGTCTAGATGTCATTGGATTCCTGCTCGCCATTGTGCTAGTGTCTTTTTATCTGATGATTAAATGCTGCACAGTATGTTATCGATGTCTGGGCCGAACAAAAAAACAAGAAAAGAAAAAATCTGATTGAGATGATGAAGAACTTTCAAGCAATCAGTAGTTCAGTGATTATTAATTCCTATAACCTCCAACTTCCTAAATTTGATTACATATTCCATTTAATCAAACCTCTCCTGATCATTTATAATCATTCAGTAAAGCCATTGCCCCAGGCTGTACTGATTTTAGGTGATCTCATTTGGGGTGATAGTGGGCACTATAACTGACCTCAGCTTGGAAATAGAAATATTAAGACTTCTACTGCAGCTTGATGCTATTTCAGTCTTGCTGTGAAATGTGTAGACATGTATTGAATTTGACTATACTCTGATCATCGCTTACAGAGAGTTGAATAGCCTGGGCTAGGGATCATAAGTGAACTTTATCCAACTTGCACAACTAATGACCTCAGAAGTATGTTTACACTAACAAGCACAAGGAATCCAGCCAACTGTTGCAAAACTCTGAACAGTTTGGGCTGTGTGGCTGTCATACACAAGGTTGGAGATGTGGAAAGAAATGTGTGAATAAATATAAGCAAATGAATGCCATGATCAAGACTCGCAACTTGGCCTTAATCATTTCTCTGTAAAATATGATGTTTTTATTAATTTCTTTTTTAATATTTGTCTAAGAACATTCTGTTCTCTTTACAATTATATGCTTGTCTCAAAGATTCTAAGAGATAAATTTGTATTTCAAACCCCTATATTCTTGTGTATTTTTTCACTTGGAAAAGTGAGGGATAGGTAGTAGTTCCTGCAACAGTTGACCTTGTGATTCTTGTGGATGAGATTGTTACTTTTGTGCTACAGGCATATGCTTAGACTACCAAATTCAATTCCGTAGATTCTCTGTGACCAGGACGCCTTCCAACCATCATTCCGGTTTGGATTCAAACATCGATCCCAGGGCCAAAGTCAGGTAACTAGTAAAACCCACCATTCATTCCAGTTCCCAAAGACTTTCGAGTGGATTCTTAAACCATCAATTTTAATGTAGCACCGTATTCGGTCTCAGTGTGGCTGTCCCTGTCAATTGCTTGTGAATTCACTCCTTTTGACTATCCCTGATCAGTCATTTTATATCTGATATAATGAGTTTTTTCCAACCCCCCACTTTGGCATCTTCCAAATCTATGCAGCCTCACTTAGTGATAGGTGCCTTTTTATAAATGGCCACCAGATAAAGAATGCACCTCTGCCCATTTGATCTCATCTTTCCAAGAATACCTGTTGCTATTGTTTTGTCGATGTGTCTAGTGCCCTGGCTTCACCCAGCATGCCTGTTGAATACTTTTCTTTGGTTGCTGGGAGATGGAATTAGAAAACCCTGACAGGTACCTGAAGATTGAAATATCCACTGCACCTCAGAAAAATGGTCATCAATTCTGTGACGAGAAAAATATCAGTTGAGCATTGGCTGATGAGGAGCTTGTAAATTGGTTTAGTCAAGATTATGCAAGTGTTGTAAGGGACTCCAGAATAATAGAGTTCCAAAGCCTGAAAACCACATCAATAATGTCCTGTAAATAAGAGATTTGCTGTGCACATCTCAAATACTACGGCAGCGATTCCATCTCATGGAAAGCATAGAAATGGAGAAAATCAAGAAACACTTACTACAAATGTTTTTTCTATATCACTGAGGCAAACTGAAAAATATTTCTTCTCTTCCACAAATTGATTTTAGTTAATGGTTTGGTATGGAAAAATACATGGACAGAATTTGAAGAAATTGTAAATTTTGTAACAAAACTAAACCATTAACAATCTCATAGAGCTTAGGTATTAAATACTTATGGGTAAAACAAAACAGGTCAATGTCTGAAACCTGCCATAGTGAAGCAATATGTAGGAAGGACCTCGATAACTTGGGTGTGTACTTGTGAGGGGGAAAGCACTGTCAAAACAGCCACTGTGGTGTTGGTTGGAAGTGACGGTTGAGGGCTCCTTGTGGAGTGGGTAGTGTTTGAAGGGGAGGGCCTTAACGAGCAGCCATTGGTGGCCAAGCAGCGGATCTATATGGTCAATGAGAAACACAGCAAGAACATCACCCAACGGGGGAATGTAGCACACAGCACCAGACCACTCCAGGAGGAGAAGGCACTGGTGGCTTCCTGGCTGCAAACTCTATGTTTATGGTGTGTGGCTCAGCAATCTTCCAGATTATTCAGAGTATATGAATAGGAGTTTGAAGCTGAGTGTTTTCCATATATATATATAACTATCTGTACCCTTTGCAGTTACGCCTCCAACCAAAGGATCCAATATGGAATGTAGATTTCAGTGATAACACTCATAAATCATTTAATATGCCATAAATACTGCGTACACCTTAAGCAAACAAGTGTAGATATGGACTCCATAATTTTTGTATGCTCGTTTTGAGAGCTGGTGTTTTCAGTGATACCACTTGCAAAACCATTTTACATTGCCACAAATGCTATGCGCAAACCTTAAGCAAAACTACCCTATATGTGTGATGAACTTGTTTAAGCTCATCGAGAGGAAATACCCCTAAAACAATATGCACATGACACTCCCCCATGCAAAATCTTTCTGATGAGGTATAAATCATGTCTCTAGGTGAATGATTACTGAGTTCTTGGCTGACACACACACAGACATTTTGTTTTTATTCGCATAGATACTTGCTTCCCAGACTCTTTGACTTCAGCTGTGTGGTGCCACAACGATCAGATGCCCAGTCACTGTTGCTATTACCAGTGGCCTACACACCATGCTCTGCAACATACGCCATATATATATCTATACTAATAAAGGCGAAGTCTGTGTTTGCGCCAATAACACAATAATTGATTAATGTGGAAACATGATTTATATCTCATTGCAAAGGTCTTTCATGGGGGAGTGCATGGGCATTTTTTTCAGGGATCTCCTATCATTGATGAGCTATATTTAAAAAATACTTTAAGCCCCAAAACATGAGATATGCATGGAATTCTGCAACAAAGTAGGGACAGAGGAAAGCACACACCTTTCTGAAGAGATGCATCTATACCAATATAGTCTGCAACAAATGTATGGCAGTTTTATCGGGTGGTCATGGGAGCTAAAGTCCTCCCAACAGGAGTTCTCCCACTGAGTCCTACCAATGGGAGTCCTCCCCTGAGTCTTCCCACTCAGACCTCCCAATAGGAGTCCTCCCACAGGGGTCCTCCCATTAGCACATTTTCTTAATCTTAGGGAAGATGCCTAAGAAGTGAAGATCAAGCTTTTCAAGGACAAATAAAAATGTAACACAAAAGAGAGAAGGCTGATTAATTGAGACTGAAGAACAAAGAACAGCACAGCTGGAGTTCATTGCTGAAGGGACTGTAAGAGTAAGGCAAAATGAATTACTTGCTCAAAGAACAGCATGGCTGGACTTGAATGCTGAACCAACTACGTCAACATGGCAGCTTGATTTGTTAGTAAACTAACCAAAACAGCTTAATTTGTTAGTAAACTAATGAAGTGACTGTTACCATAGCTTCCCTCCCCCTCTTCCCAAGTCCCTTCCCCTCTCTGTGCAAATCAACCCCCACCCACTGTGAGGATCTTCATAAGAGACCCCTTAATAAAGGGCTTCCTGACATGATCTGACAACTTACAGAACTTCACCCCTGTGAATCATGGAGTCCTGTAGTGTAGTGGTTAGCGCGCTCACCTCACAAGTGAGAGGACCTGGGTTTGATTCCTGGGCAAGCGAAAAGTTGGGAAAGTTTCCTTCCTCCACACGCCTCCATTTCCCTAGCAATAAGTAGGAACCCGGTTGTTAGTTGATTGGCAGATCGATTTTTTGGGGCTAATAATCCCTTAGAAAAATGATAATAATTTGGTCACTCAATCCATGACGGTTTGTTGGACACTGCTGTGCGCAATTGGTTGTTGCATTTCACCACAAAATACACAATCAATTCACTTTACAGTATATTCTATGAAGCGCTTTGAGAAGTCTATATCAAGTGCAAGGATTATTATATATTATTATAAGTCATATAGGGTTAATGTTCCTTGAATGTGCAGGGCAAGAACTATGTAGATTTCCCTAGTTTTGCCTAGGTCAATGTAAGATTAGATTCATCTTTCTCACTTGCACTTTGCAACCTTCAAATCATCCTTGTTGTCCTTTGCCTATCTCTGTTTCTTTCCATGAGTATAGTGTGACCACGTATGAGCCTACTATTGTTGCATTTGTGTAAGTGAATCCTCCCGACGTGAAAGGCACTATACAAATGTAATCTTGTTGAATCTTGTAATTGTACACGCCAACACTTTATTTTGCTTTGCAAATATTTTTGTTCTTTGGTCAGCTATCGCACTAGGTGTGGCTCTTATTTGATGATACAACCTTCATTTTATGAAAGGTTGTCTGATTTTCCATTTTTATACCAAATATGTCTTGCATTTCTTAATATTACATTGCATTTTTAGGCAGGAGAGTTGGGGGATATGTTCAGTGTCTAATTATTTGGTCTGGAGAGCACTTTTAATTGAAGTCCTTTGCTCTGAACATGCTGCCTTCCTCTACACCTTTGCATAATTTATAAACTTAGACATTATCCTAACAAGTCAACTCTAGACAAGTCTGCAGAAACACAGGTTGTGTCTTGCAGTCTTTCAGGTTATGGACTGTGATGTTGAGGAAATCACCAATTCGATAGTGGTAACAATTACTCAAACATCAGGATAGCTTTATCACTAAAATATCACTATCAAACTACTAAAAAACGATGTTAAAATCAAATCTGAAATAATAATACAAAATTGAAATACTTTACCTCTACTTTGTGGTGTGCTTTTTTAACAGAATTAAAAATAGAGTTAAAGTGACTCTTAACACAGAGTTGGAGTTGCTTTTCATTGTCTGAGCTGTAAAAACTACTTTTGCACCTAATGGACATGCCAGTCACTAGCACAGCTGCATCATCAGTGCAAACAAGTCCATTATCTGTGCAGAAGTTGTCACAACTTGAAAAACCAAATCTGTCCTTAGCACCTGAAGGGTTAAAAATCGCAGACTACTCCTAAAGTCTCTGCTTAGCCTAACTCACCAATAAAAAAAAACACCATTAAAGCTACGCCTACATTCAACATGATGAACTAATTATACATGCAGGGTGTACTGGGAGGAACAGTATTCAGAAAACAGATCAACGATATCCATTCAACTGTCTTCTCACTACGATTTTATATTGTTTCTAATCTTCCTTTACCATTTCCTTAAATCTTTTGACGCAAAAATCCTTGCATTTTTTTCACTGCTCCATATAATTATCCAGTTCTTGGTTTTGACATTAACCTCTTATACTTTTGTATGTTGCATTTAATTTACTGCATCGCAATAAACTCCTGAAAAATATTAAATTTTTCTTAAGTGTTTTACTCCAGTTCATCCTCCCATTTTGGTCCCGATAGCTTTACAAATCATCCTTCTTGAAATGGGATACTTTCACTTTCTTCTCTCTTGCTCTTTTAAGGCCCCATTAACAAATCTAACAAATCTACCAAACATTGCTGGTGATCAAATGTTCCTCAACTTCCGAGCACTTTAGCACCTCAATCTCACCACTGCATCAATACTACTTGTGACTTATTTCTCTGTTCCTATTGTAACACAGTGGGTAAAGAAGCAATCCTGCATTAAATCTGTGACTTGACTAATAATTAAAAGTTCCCTCTCCCAATCAAATTTAATGGAAGG